GGGAAAGAGACACAACATTCCCGCGTCTCTTATATTCTCACTCTCTCTCTCTCTCTCTCTTTCCCGTCTCTTCTTCCCGCTCTTGAACGAGAGGATGCATGAGAGACTGCTCCAGACCGTGGAGAGAGGAGAGAGAGAGGGTGCTGCCTTGGGGTTCATTATTCAGGGCTATTGATTTCCATCCAACTCCTACCATCAGCCCACCCAACGCCACCGGCGACCGTGAGTGAGGGAGAAAGAGGGATTGAGCGATGAAGATAGAACGAGAACGAGATTGACGGGTAGCAGTTCTCTCTCGCGAGCTTCCTATCTCTCCTTCTTTCTCTTCCTTAGACCCTCAACATTTCTGCTTCCAGCACGCTGCATCAACCTACATACTGACTGACATCTGTTTAAACCGAGCTGCTTGCCCATGACCAGTCTGCATCTTATAATATCGTTGTTTACGGCGTCCGGATTTAATCCGTTTATATTGACTGGACATTATTTTATAATCACAAATCGCTTATCGAAAATTTCTAAAAACATAAGCGAGAATTCAACTTTATATCATAAATATAGATGTCAAGAAAGATATGTATCACGACGATTCATCTCTCTCTTTCTCTTTTTCCCTTTCGAAACTGTCTACTTTTGCAAATTCTCGGAGTAGCGTTATCCTTGCCGGTCCTTCGTCTCGGATTCGGATTTCTTCGTCGGTTCCTATGAAGTTGACGGAGTTAGGAAGAAAGTTCGAAACTTTCCACCCATAACGGCGGTCCGATAGGGCTTCCAAGCTTTCTCCTCGGAATTTCGTGCCTTGGGTTTCCTGTTTGTGGAGGATCAGCTTGAGGATCATGGATAATACCGCAAGACCAACGGCCAATCGGTTTTATCCCTTTGTTTTCAAATCAGTATGGATAAAATATTGCATCGTCTGACTAACCAAGTTTGTGCTTTATCGTTCCAACATGATATATGTTATTAAATCTTTTCATTAAACGTATTTTTCATTCATAATATATATACGGTCATATTAACATTACATGACATGTAATATATTTACAATGACTAATTGTTAATTAAAGTGTACATATTAAAATTATTGCGTAATATGCAATGGAATTCAGTATTAATATATAAACTATTTTATTAATAATTTTGCATATAAAATTGTCATTGGACATATAATCTTTACCATTGAATCTCAATTGTTTTCGTATTTTTATCTGTATAAATTATATATTCATCATCAACATACTCTTTTTCGTTCTCTTTTTCTTCGTTTAATTAAATATATTTTAATAGTTATATATATATATATACAGAGAGAGAGAGAGAGAAAGAGAGAGAGAGAGAATGTCGATAGTAAGTTATTACGCTCGGTATGTCTGAGCACATCCCGCTTCTACTACTAATACGCGTATCAGACATAACTATAGATTCGTAAAGATTGAAGTACATTTGTGATATTTTTATATATAGCATGTTTTCTTGCATTTCTCAATTGTGTATCAATTTTTAACGGTTTTTTATATTATTTAGTAAAGCTTATTTCTTTATAAATAATATAATGTTCATGTTAATGCTACTATATAATTTTTTAGAAAGAGTTTTTTTATTATAAAGTAATTCTAGATTTTTAGTCAATAATACATACAAATTTATTAATATATAATCTTTTCTATCATATCTCTCATACATTAATTCTGCAGATCGCCAAATCTCATTCTCAAACTTAGATCAGGCAAGCTTGAGAGCTGTAACATGTACATGCGTTACAATCAATTACTCGTCACGGGTTTCCGTTTTTCCGTCTCGAAATCGATCCAGTATGCGGAAGCAGCACGGGTTTGCTCTCTTTGACTGTGCCCAACGTGACGTAACGTAAAACCCCATTAGGTGTTAGCTCCTCCGTCGACGGTTAAACCGTTACTCGACTGCCGTTCGTAGGTGGGACGAGTCGAGCCGGTGTGGTATTGGTGGGTGGTATATATATATAGCCAGAATTGGCAGAGGGAGAAAGATAAAGGGAGAGAGAGAGAGAGAGAGAGAGAGAGAGAGAGAGAACACACCGGCGCGCAGGGTTGAACTGGCACTGTGTGTGCCTATAGGGATTGCAGCGCCGCGGGCGCCGGCGCGAAACGGTCGCTCGCAAGACCACCTCCGCGTGGTGGGCTCGTGACGTCAGCTATCCTCAGTGTGCGGAGAGCGACCGCAGTGTACACCATCTCCACGTTTTGGCAAAGGAGACGGCATCGTTGCCGGAGTGCACGAGTTAAATCGCCGTTCGCACGACGCACAACGCAACGATCAGCTGGATCACGCACCGCGTCGTGCCCCCTTCTTCTTTTTCCCCATTCCCTCGCCCTGTCGTCGCCAACCCTGTTCGTCGGTCCGTGATCCGGACGGGGCACGCGATTTCGGACGGATTACGAACGGATTTTTATCGGTGGGAAAAGACGCGTGATTGTCGCCGACAAAGTCAGCACGACGCGTTCGCGAGTTCTCCTTTCCCGCGTCCGCTCGTCGCTCCTCTACGCTTCCGAAGTGACGCGGTTTCCTCTCCTTGATGTGTACGACGACGACGACGAGGCGGAGGACGGTCGGTAGTCACGCGGTCGACGCTCTCGCCGGCGGTATCAGCGTTTCGGAATCGAGTAACACCTAGCACGAGGAGCGTTCACTGCGGGGACGCCGGGGGTGACGAGATTCTCAGAACGACGAACCTCCCCCGCGTATTGATGGTGATGTTGCTAATGTTGTTGCTCGCGTTTGTGTTCGAACGTAACGAGTACTGACCACTCGCGCGACGTTGTTAAATTTCTCATTCAGATCGTGAAGCGAGTCAGTGTCGTTTCTTCGGGATAGGACATAAAGTTTGCTTTTCTATTATAGTGTCACGCGGATTAATTCGACGCTTTTCGCCAGTCGAAGCGATCCTTCGAAGTGCGAGTTCCTCCGAAGACACGTGGAGTTGAATCGGATCACTCTTAGCTCACGTGGTCGGCGGCGCTCGTGATTGCGCGACCCTCGCGCAAGTTTAGACTCGTCGTGAGTGATTATACTCGGCAATAGGAGGATTCTCCTCGCGCTCGTAAATAGTACGCGGTATTTATGCTGCCCCCGGGCACGCTCGACATAATCCGCGCGAACGTCAACTGTACTTGGTGAGTGTTTGCTTGTGAGGACAGGCATCGTTTGTGCGGGACGACCACGCATCCCTGTGAATGAGTCGTTCATGTCGCGAATAAGAAGGTGAGGAGGGATGACGACGAACCGCCGTCGCGGCTTTGTTGAAGGGGACGACGAGGATTCGTGAAGGCGACGACGATTCGCGAGCACGATTGTGACTACGAGACCGAGACACGGCGGCTCACTCGTGGTTTGCGATTCTTCGTAGAACTCCAGGGATCCGCAAGCACGCGGAATTAAGCAGGCAGCGTGGAGCGCTCGGCGATTGTGTGGCCGCGCGCCGCGGATCTTTATCTCTACCAGCCAGGTATCGAACATTATCGAGAAAAATTACTTTCTGCAATTCGATCGATAATTTATCTGCGATACGCGTACGATACGCGTATGTATGCAAAACATATCGTTATTTCATACACATGAACTATCTTTCTTCATTTTCAAAGTTTATGAAATTTGAAACGTAGCATTCTTTCCAAATTTAAAAGCATTATTTCCAAATTGGGACGAAATTTCATTGCGTTTGACTATTTAATAATGAGTTTACTATATGAATGAGATGCATTTCAAGTGTTGCGGTAGATTTTCGAAATTATTTACAGGTTTACTACTATCATTTTGTTTCAAGTAAAATTAATTTAAAATCGAATGATTGGATTTAAACTCTGAGAGAACTGAATGTTTTTTTTTTCTCGAGGACAGCTACTTTGCATCGCTTGTTGTATATCTATTTATAAAGGACGCGCGAGAGATGGAAATGAAAAGGTATAAGTTATTGCGTAGATACTTGACACGATTTATGCTCCGC